TGGCCTTTCTTTAGAGTCACTATTGACTTAGTTGAAATGGTGTTTGCCAAAGGAGACCCAGGAATTGCTGCTCTGTATGACAAGCTTCTCGTGTCGGAAGATCTATGGTCGTTCGGAGAGCGGTTGAGGGCTAACTATGAAGAAACTAAGGACCTTCTCCTTCAGGTATTGTCCATATGCTTTCTTGAAAATCATATTTCAGAAATTAGAAGCTTTTGCAAGCAACTAAGCAGTTTGATGTTAAATTTTCAGGTAGCTAAGCACAAGAATATTCTGGAAGGAGACCCATACTTGAGGCAGCGACTCCGTCTTCGTGATTCGTACATAACCACCCTTAACGTTTGCCAAGCGTATACATTGAAGCGGATCCGTGATCCCAACTACAACGTGAAAGTCAGGCCTCACCTTTCAAGGGAATATCTTGAATCAAGCAAACCTGCTGCAGAACTTGTGAAGCTCAACCTGAAGAGCGAGTACGCGCCTGGTTTGGAAGACACCCTTATCCTAACGATGAAGGGTATCGCTGCCGGTATGCAGAACACCGGTTAAAGAGGCAATGCTGTGTCGGTGCTACGTCTACGCTCGTTTTTCTACGTGTATTACTGTTGTGCTACTGACAGGACACATGCAAAGTAATTATACATCACCTCGTCCGTGATCATTGCCGGAAGTTAGCCCCGCAGCGGCCCAAAAAGGTGGGAAGTGGTGGGATCTCGTACGTCGAGAATGGGGAGGAGAGCGGCAAGCCTTGGGATTCCGTTGGAGATTCTGGAAGAGTAAGAAATGAAAGCAATGGTGACGCTGCATACCTTGGCGAGGCTGCGGAGTTCGCCGGCGGAGGTGGGTGGTGGTCTGTCTCTTCAAATTTATCAGTGAGATCGAGACATTTTAAAAATTATATTTGATTAATTTAAAACACTGTTTTATTTTTATAATATGCAAATTATTGAATTTAAAAATGTATGGTTCCGTGCAATAGTTCTTTAATTGTTTGACTTGAAACTCGAGCCAGGAGAAATTGTAGTCAACTTAGTATGTGTCAATGTGAGTCAATCGGCTTATCTGATTAGTTGTAATCACGTTATAAATTCGTGTTGTTTAAGGTATTCAGCCTATCATTTTTCTCCCTAGCTAAAAAATATTAATAATAATAAACCATCCATTTTTCCCACAAAAAATAGATTTAAATAGTGTTTTAGTTTATGTATTATATTTTTTTGATTCAATACATTTTAATTCTCGTACTTTCAAAATATCATTCTAATATTTATATATTCAACTTTTGTTTATTTTAGTTCTTATATTCAAAACATATGTTTTTTTTAATAGTACTAAAGTGACCAATTTGATATCTATTTAAAAAAATTTAACGCACATTTTATATACAATGAAAATCTTTTAATACAAATTTGTAGCTACGTTTCAAGAATTTAGGGAAAGAATTGTCATATTAAAATTATTATTGAAATAAATGAGATAAAAATTAATCATGACTCATTGGTCTAAAGGGACTTGTAAATTGAGAGTAAATGAATTCAAATCTCACGATGGTTACCTATTTTATAAATGAATTCTTATATGATTCTTGCACTAAATGAACTTCGATTAGATCATAAGTATATATACGAGGATTTATATTTAAAGTATATAATACTGTACTGTAGAAATATTGGAAGTATTGGTTGGTCCCTAATTAACAACCATCACATAATAACTTTTTGATTATTGGGAATTATTTCCAATCATTAAACCAATTTTTCTTTTTCCAGTACAATCACAAACCCATTCATCCATGATTAAAAGTAACATATAAGTCATACTTTATTGACTGTAAAAAAAAACTTATTTCGTCGACTGTTTTTTCCCCCTTTGAATAACATTAATCAATAAAGAAAAATATAGCTAGTTGGCTTACCTAAATTAAATTTTTTTTTTATTTTTTTGGTAATTGAATTGTAACATTAATGTACATTTGAGACTCTTATCAAAATAATAATAACAATATAAATCTGTTGAGATATAAGAATAAAAATTCACCAGTCAAATCGAGCATAGTTCAACGGTAATTGACATGTATCCTCAAATCAAAAAGTTGTGAATTCGATTCTCTGCATGTTGTACTAAAAAAAATCCACCATTTTTTTCTTTTTTGTACCAACTCGATAATTGCAAAAAAGCAAACCATGTCCATAAATTCATTTTGCCTCTTCAGATGATTAAAAGCTAACTCTTCATGAAAATTTTGAAGGAAAATATATTAAAAAMATGGAAAATATTAAACTGGCCCTTGAAATGATGGAAGGCCATTGGCTCTTTTTGGACTCACACTCGTCTTCAATCACCACATAAAATACCAATTATACGAAGTATTTTCTAAGAAAGGAAAAAAAAAAAAAAGGCAAGCATCAATTAATATGGGTATTTTCTTTTCAAATAAAGAAAAAAAAAGATACTATTTTAATTTTCAAGCTCCGTATTTTTTAAAAACTTTTTATTTTACTACTAACTCTAACTAATTAGTTGGTAATATTTTAATGTTTGATAATGAATTATAATGTAACATCGAGAATAAAATCGATAATACTAACAAACAATATCCATCACATAATATTAATTATTATCGGATAATAATTAACATATTTAGAGCATATGCAATGAAGGTAAATAATATGAGTTATTAGTTGTTATAATTTAGTTAGATTGACCAAAGCGAGCATATCTCAACGGTAATTGACATATATTTCCAATTAAGAGATTGTGAGTTTAATACTCTATCCAACATGTTGTACTTAAAAAAAAACTTAAAAAAAACTTAGTTAAATTGAGTAGTTCTTGCAAGATCTCAATTAAAAAATCAATAAGGAGCCAACTAAATGTTTTTTTTTTTTCATTTAATAATGAAAATCTCTATGGTTCATGATTACCATATATCCTTTAATTCTTTGAAAAAATCTAATTTATTGTTAAGAGAATAAACAAAATTTCCTTTTCTTTTCCTTTGTATAACTTTATTGTCCCTTTTCGAACTAAGCGTAAGTTAATTTAATTTAAATATTTATCTAAGGTATTCCTAGCTATCAATAAAAAGATATTGTTCAAACTTATAATAAATTATAATGATAAATGGAGTTTATATGATTATTGATCGAATATCAAAGTAAGAGTAGATTTGAATTATCTATAAAGTATCGATAAAATAATGGATAGAAACAAATTAGGAATATGAGATGCAATTATTAATATATAAAAATTCAAAAAAGCACCCATTAAAGAAATGAAAAAGGCTTAATACGCACTCATTTATTTACCTACCACTAATACTAAGCATTAAGCAAAAAGGAATTATATTATGTAAAAGCTTTGTTATTTATATGCATCAAGGAATAGAATCTCCAACACATGATAGAAGTATATATAGGACTTTTTCTTTTTCTTGCATTATTTTTGGTTCAATGAAAGGATATCCAAAATTTTGATGCTTAGTCTGTTTTGAATATCATGTTTAATAAAGAGGCAAAACGAAAGTTAAATAAAAATGGTTAAAATTAAGTTGATTCGATAAATTAAATATTAGTTTGGTCCCACTTTTAAAGTATTATAATTTTGTGCTAGGATGTTGGTACTATAATTGCACTGAAATTATATATTTTTTTAGAAAAATATTTTACACCATTTTGAGGGTTAGATAATTAATGCCTCATTATATGGATTATAATTTTAAATCTTTTCCTTTATTTGTAATTTACTATCACTATCAAAATAATAATTTATTGTAATCTACTTTTATAAATATACATATGGTGTAGATTTAAAAAATAAAAAGAAAAAGAACAAATCATCCTTTTTTCAATTAGGAGTGATGACCTTTTTTTTTCTTTTTTCTTTTTTTTTTTGGGTACAAGAGATGGCTGTTCTTTACTACCTTTCCACTAGTCTGGCTATAAAATTACAGTTAAATATATTAAAGGTCCTCTGTCTTTTAAGTTTTTTTCCTCAATTTAGTTATTAATCTTTTAAAATTCTCAATGGAAAAATTGTAATTTTTTAATTAAAATATGTTAATCATTGGTGTCCTTAAATTATTATTTTGTTAGCATGTTTGTATAATCGAACATGCCATTTAGAATAAACAGATTTTATTGAGAGCGAGTTGTATCTTAATCAAGAGGTTCAATCTCCCACCCTACATGTTCTACTAAAAAAAAGATAGATGAATTAATATCCTAGTCACATGTAAACGTGTTTAAATATATTATTATTATAATAATAATTTTTCAAAAAAATTTAATTAAGAATTTTTATTTTTATTTTTGGTTGAGAAATTAAGAATTTTTAGTTTTTATTATAACAACTAGAAAATTGAATTCAACCTTTTAAAAGGTTAATGACAAAATTAAAAATTAGTTAAAAAAATAGAAATGAGTTGGTATATTTAGCCCAAAATTACTCAATCATCTCCACAATAAAATTCCTGGAGCATAAACCACTAATAATCCGCATATTCGGTACCAAGTTATAGCAAATAATACGTGTCACAATTCTAGGCACATTTCTAATAAACATAGAAAATAATAATTAAAAAAAAAGTTCAGTGCCAGGTCACCCGTCACCTGTCAACTGTGTATTGTGTTGACTGCATTTACTAAACAAAACTAATTTTTGAAAAAGAAAAGAAAAGGGAAACAAAATCTTTTTTTTTTTTTTACGAAAAAAATAATAATGAATTTTACTGTTAAAAAAAAAATAGTGGATGTCGTTAATGCTAATTGAAATAATTCGAATTGTAGTAGGAAAAATTGAAAACGGAAACCAAAAAGGAAAAGGAAAACGAAATCGAAGAGGAGAAGGAAAAGACTTCTTCTTCGTCTATAAATTGGGAGCTACAAACAAGAGTCTCGCTGAAACTCTTCACTCACTTTTGTCAGTTTGTTTTCTCTGCTCTGCTCGTGATTTTCGGCTTTCGAAGGTCTTCGTCTTTTCCGCCTCTTTCTCGTGCCAAGATCAGTAGCTCTTTCTTTTGGAAGCGTGAGGTGAGGGATCTTCTTCCAGAATTTGTATGATTTGTACTGTCGATCATCACGGGCTCTCACTTTTTTTGCTTTTTTCTTTTCCCCTTTGGTTTTAATGTTTTCTTATTCGGTTACATTGTGCTGATTCGTGATTTGGGTGGTTGGATTTGTGAATAAAGGACGAAGCAGCGGAGAACTAAATGGCGGCGCCTAAGAACTTGGAGAAAATGGCTT